TGAATTATACCAAATAACTTTGTTAACTCATGCATGTATGGTTTTTTTTTTCGTATTGTTGCAAATTCATATCTTAAAGTCTGAAAATAAAAAACATCATGAATATCCATGGTCCGCGTCTAGGATTGTAGTTTAAGAGGTTAAAATCAGTAGAAGTTTCATTGGATTTGCTGTACAAATGCCACTTCACTTTCATCGTTACCACAAGGTCTAATCAAACCATAAATGGAATCCCGAAAGAGATCGAATGTGATCGGAAGTAGATGGTAGTGACTGAATATTTTGGTCAAACCATACCTTATAATCCATAGAATTTTTTAAAACAAATTATTAACATTTGCTTTAAACTTCGAGAATGATTTCATCTTATAGTGAATTGCAATTTTTTTATCTACGAAAATTCTCAGAAATGGGACTTTTTGGCTTTTTTGGTTTTTTGACATGGGCGTTTTCCCATTAAATATAGTACTCAGAACTCAGAACAAACTGGATATATAGTTTTTTACTTTCCTACCTATACTAGGTAAGGAAACTATTGCGATCGGGTCAAATTTCCGATATGCGGTTTTCAAAGTATACGTTTATCTATACGTTTCAGAGAATCTGAAAAATACATTTTAGCCATTGGTCTGTCTGTCCGTCTGTGCCAAGATTTTATCATGAACTACGGAACCGATTTTGTTTCTTGTGTCGAAAAAACACCACATAGCCTGTAATTTTTTTGGAAGTGGACGAAATTCCGTACGGAACTATATAAAAATAGTTCATTTTGGACAAATATTAACGAAAATACAACTATTCAATTTGCAATGTAAGATTACGGGCTCATATCCTGGTGTCAGAAAGGATTGAACGAGAGAAAAAATATGACTAAGTGAAAGTAAGAAAATCTGTTAACCTAGAAATTATTGTTTGACAAAATTAAGCTATGGAAAAAAGTTTTTGATCAGCTACGACTGCTTTAGATGGAAGTTGCCGAAGGATATGGGGGGTAAGGAGAGATCAGCAATATTTGAGGGTATTGAAATTTTTACACTGATCTACTTTAAGCCGGTTCACATTGCTTTAGTTTAACAAACAAATCGTACTCAAATCTTTTCTTTGATCAATATTCAGGAAAATAAATCTAATACCATTTTTTTTATTTATTCTTTTTTTTTATGGACATATGTAAAGATATAAAAACTTTTCTGAAATAGGTAGGAAAGTCGTGTGAGTGGACACACCAGATTTTTTTATTTGAATCCAAAGATAATTTGATTATAAAATCGAAAAAAAATGTTGACTACAAAAAAGTTGGGACGTTTGCCCTATACAACCTCTTAAGGTCTATTCTCGCAGTCTCCTTTATACCACGAACATGAGATCTAGGTCTGACTGGAAAAGGTGAAGTGACATTTTTACAGTGGTACCGTTTTATTTCCACATCCAATCATGGTACAGTAAGCTACTACTCAATACCCAGTTGGTTCATTTATTTTTAAAATGATAAACTATCTATTGATCTGTTTTAAAACCGGCAAGAACAACGATTTTAATATCTGGAAAATAATACAAAAATTATTTTTCCTAGAATTTTGTTCTTTTGAATAGTATTGGATGGCTATTATCCTCATGTTTCTACTGTCTGATATATCTATGAGTATATTTACTGATATAAGTACATCGTTTAATTTGATACATATGGTATTGTGTTATAACGAAATTAGATCCAACCAATGATTCCGTTTAATCTTCTTGACGTCATTGATGACCTCCTGAATGGCTGAAGAGGATTATCTTTTTTAATCAGATATACATCACTATTACGTAATAAACTTGAATGTTTTAATGGTTTTCCGTTGTGTGAATTTCTTTGCCGTTAATGAGAAAACAGATTGCTATTTCACAGTCTGAGACAAAAACGTTTTAAAACGCGTTTATGATGAATAAATGACAATAAATCTTCACAAATTATGATTTTTTTTTTTTAGGAATGTTTTCATGTTCATTCAAAATAATTCGGTAAACAAGAATTTTTATGCAGCGTAGTTTCTTCAAACAATATTTGTATCTATTTAATTTTCTAATTAGTATCCAGGAAATTTATTAACTTTTTTTTCTTCTTTTTAATTTCTAACGAAAACCCTCATTTCATTTCATTTGTTTGTGGCGTGGAGAAGTAAATAACTCATACAATACACTCGCGTGCCTACAATTTCTACAGATCTGTTGGTTTTCAGAGTACATATGGCATAGAACTCAAAATACAGAACCACTAGCGTATAAATGATAAATGCATTAGCATATTTTAAACCGGTAATGGTTTAAAACATGAGCTGTAGAGGTGGAATGTAAAGTAAGAGGATTTATATAGTTTAAATTTTCGTTAACGAGCCGAATTATTTTCCTCATAATCTTTTGTTGCTAGTTAGAGCTAAACGTCAATAAATTTCTCATAAAAGGTGTCAGGTTCCTTGGAAATGAATTATTAAAAAAGAATAATCATACTTTAATAAGAAATAATTTAAAAAATAAATCATAATCAGGTGCATTTAACATAACTGCATTTAACCTAGCAAAAAAAAAATAAAATAAAATAAAAAAGAAAGTGTTATATAGAACTACATAGCATTGAATTATTAACACATATATTTTTATTTCGTAAGCTTGTAGTTTTATTTTTGGGTGAAATCCAAACCATTATTTCCTAAAAACATATTTGGTATAGATTACTAAGGGATCCAGTTCCAATTCCACACCAAAGGGCCCCTTATACGATCAATATTATTGAAGCAATATAATTGAAGGCAATATATTGAAAGGGTACCTCACACAGGTCAATATTATTTCAGGTAAAATGTTGCTCCCACTAAAGAAGGAGTTTTTTCAAAGAGTTAAACTTTATATTTTCTGAAAATGAATAATAATTAATTTCATACTGTTTTAATTGCCTTGGCTTTAGCATTAAAAAAATAAATCTGGAGTGTCCACTCACACGACTTTCCTACCTATTTCAAAAAAGTTTTTATACTTTAAATATGTTCATGAACAAAAAAAAAAGGATTGAACTAAATTTATTTTCCTGGAAATTGATCAAACAAAAGATTTGAGTACGATTTATTTGATAAACAAAAGCAATGTAAACCGGCTTAACGTAGATCAGTGTAAAAATTTCAATACTCACTAATATTGCTGATCAAAAACTTGTTGCCATAGCTTAGTATTGTCAAATAATAATTTCTGTTAAAAGTAGAGGAAATAGTAAAGCTTGTGTGATGCGGGCAGATATTCTTACTTTCATTTAGTCATCTATATTCCCTCATTCACCCCTTTCTGACACCAGGAAATGAACTCGTAATCTTTCATTAGAATAGCTGTAACTTCGTTAGTAGTCAAAATCCTACAAAATAAAAGAAGCAACAAAATCGGTTCAGTAGTTCCCGAGAAAATCTTTGTACAGACAGACAGACCAATGGCTAAAAAAGTGTTTTTCGGACTCAGGGGGCTGTGAAACGTATAGATCCGTCGAAAACCGCATGTCGAGAATTTGACCTGATTGCAATACTTTCCTTACCTCTACTATAGGTAGCAAAGTAAGAATATATATATATATATGTGTTCTTTGTAATCTTTATTTTGTTCCTAGACATTAAAAACAGTTAAATATTACCATTTCGTATTAAAAAAAAATTAAGGAGGGTACTACAAAAGTTTAAAAAAAAATATCTTGATAATCGAAGTATTTATTCTAACTTGAATTAATCTATTAAAATTATTTCTTTGCATTCAAATTGTTATTCATAGTTTTAAAACTTTAATATAAAAAAATTACTAAAAACAAATGAGCAATGATAGTAATAATGTACTGCATATTTTTCGAGTGTTATTCCTTTAAAACAAATCTCATTTTAGAAAAGGATTAAAAATTTGTCATGAACAATTACCAGTTCAAAATAGATAGACAAATAATAACAAATATTATGATGACGTAATAAATAATCAGTCATTAAATTTTTTTAATATATTCAATTAGTTTAATTTTGATTTAACTTTAATTAAGAGGAGACTTAAAATAAGATTTTTTATTTACCAAATATCGGCGTGATCTATTGAGAAGCAATGTTCGTTTTTCAAATTCATATCTTTCTTCAGGACCAGAAACACTATTTTAGTTTTTTTGTTTACTTATTATTTCATTTTTAATTTAATTTCTACGCTGCATAAAAATCCTTGTTTACCGAATTATTTTGAATAAACATGAAAAAATTCATAAAAAAAAAAATATAATTTGTGAAGATTCCTTGTCATTTATTCATTATGAACCAATTTTAAAACGTTTTTGTCTCAGACCGTAAAATAGCAATTGGTTCTCTCATTAACCTGCAAATCCAAGTTTATTACTTAATAATAATGTATATCTGCTTAAAAAAGATAATTCTCTTCAGCCATTCAGAAAGTCATTGATGACATCAAGCGGATTAAACAGAATCGTTGGACCTAATTTCTTAATACCGCAACACTATATACATTAAAAAAAAAGTACTTATATGAGTAAATACACTCATAGATATATCAGACAGTAGAAACATGAGGATAACAGCTGTCCAATACTATTGAAATGAACAAAATTCTAGAAGTAATAATTTTTCTATTATTTTTCATTCATCGTTCTTTCCGGTTTTGAAATAAAATATACATTTATTGTTTAAATATACAACAATAAAATTTCCTGGTGTTTTTGTACATATAAAAAGGCAGCTTTTGAATGGTACTAGAAAGTCGCCTGCCGAAAAAAAAAAATATATTTTTCGTTCCACCCTTTAGATTAATAAACCTTTCATGGCAGGTTTTATATTTAGCTTCTGTATGGGTTAAAAATGGCCATCCAGATATGAATATTTATTATGTGAGTGTGATTTGTAGCCCTACTATCTGCCAGCTGACTGTATATGTATGTATATATATATATATATATATATATATATATATATATACAGTATAAGGTGTGGTGTTGACAGGAGTTCGTGCCGGACTGCGACTTCGTGCACTTGGACACGGCGGGGACGGGGATGAAGACCCGCGGGCTGTACGCCCCCTACCTGAGGGGGGGCTTCATGACCGGGCGGCCTGTGCGGACCGTGGTCCAGTTCCTCATCAACATGGCCTGCCCCCTGGATTCCACCACCAAATGCTCAAAGTAGTATGTTGAGTACCATCCACCGTCAACCTATAAGATATTTAGTGCTTTTATTTCAATGTCTTTAATGCAGTGATTTTATTAAACAACAATAATGATTTTTTAGTAGTTTTTTATTATTTGTTTTAATGTTAGAAAATAAAATTAGAATACATATTTATTGAATACATATTTATTGTATACATTTATTGAACTCGGTACATCGAACTTCCATGTATTGAAAATCTCGATTTTAATTAGAAATATTACTGACAGACACTTCAAAGTCATTCATAACAATGCTTATTCATCTCTTTTTACTCAGTTTGCCGGTGTTCCTCAAGGTAGTATCCTATGTCCTATCCTTTACACAGTTTATACAGCTCTCATCCCAACCCAATCCAACACTGTCATCACCACCTATGCCGATGACACGTGTATCCTATCAGTTAATAACGATCCATCTATTGCATCCCAAACTCTTCAATCACACATCACAAGTCTTGAAAAATGGTGTCAAAACTGGAGGATTAAAATAAATTCCAATAAATCCCATCAAATTAACTCCATTCTTCGTCGTAAACCTATTACTTCCTGTCCCACAGTATCCTTCAACAATAGCCCTCTTATCCCTATAGAACATATCCGATGCAAACGACATTGACAAACGACTCACTTGGAACCACCATACCATACTGTAACGACTAGAAACCGCTCACTTACTAGAAAAACGCTCTAAGCTTTCAATCAATTACAAAAGACTCATATATATGACAATAATAAGACCTATTTGGACTTACGGAATTGAGCTTTGGGGCTCAACTAAACCATCAACTCGTATCCAATCCTTACAATCCAAAATCCTTCGTAAAATCCTCAACGCTCCTTACTTTGCCACCAATAAAATCATCCATAAAGACCTTAATGTTCCATATGTTTCCGATTTGGTCCAATCCAGATACCTATCCTTCAATAACAAACTGCAGAACCATCCGAATCCTCTCGTTTCAAACCTTGCTTCCTCCTCGATCCCTGATAACCTTCTAATATAGAACTTTAATTTGAGTTCTACCAATGGGTAGTTTCTCTTCATGTGGTACATGCCATGTTACCAATATCACACTTACTTGTTGTATTTTTCATGTAATACAGTTGTAAATTTCATTAAAATAAAATAAAATTAGAAATAAATATTTTATATGTAGAATGATTTTTTATATATTGAAAAAAGGCACATTAGATAATAATAATCCGTAGTAGACCCCTTTTTCAAGTTATTAATATCCGCCTAAAACATCGTGAATGATTTCGTCTTGTGGTAACTTAAAAATTTGTATCTAAGAAAATCCTTATGAATGGAGCGTTCTCTTAATATATAAAATAATTTATTTATTGAAGTAATAAAACGTCGTCAATATCCATTTGCTTTCCACACGAATCGTAAGATAATTTTATCACAAAATCAAAAAAAAAAATGTGGCCTAAAAAATTATTAGACTACTTGAATTGGCCTCCACCCCCAAAATGTCAAAATAACGAGGCTAAACGCAATCAAACGGGCAGCAGAAGAATCTCTTGGCTACGAGACTAAAGCTAGAAGGCCCCGCTGGTTTGATGATGAGTAGCCTTCAAGCAGTAAAAGTGAAAAACGTAGCCTACAGAAAGAAGGTTCAGATATATAAAAACCAACCTCTAAAGCCATTGAATCTAAACATTCGCGAATTTCCCCTATGAAAAATCAAAGTAGTTTCTAAAATGGTATAAATTTTTTCAAAAAAGGTGGTAAAATATTCAGCTCAAAAAATAAAATTGAAAAAAAAAACACCAAAAGCTTTTGATTTAAGAAATAAGGTTTCTGAAAATACAATGTTGTGTTTCAGTAGAAATAATTTTTTTTTTGTGATCAAGTATTTCATTCGCAACAGGTAAGTGTGGAGTTTAGATGCATTAAATTAAATAGTATAGTAAATACTTCTTTACTAAATTAATATATTTATTAAGTATTACATAATTTTAAATACAAAATCATGTGTATGTTTTGTGATTTATCCTTAAATATTCGTTTTAATTTTTTTTTTTTCAATTTTCATTAATTTTGAATAAACTATAATTACATGTACATGTTGTTTGTACGTTAACAAAAAAATGATACGGTTAATCATTTTAATTATCCTATAGACCTTCGAAAAATATCGAAAAATGTGCCGGAACTATCGAGGAATCTTCGTGCAAAGTCCCGTGACAAGGATTATTGGAAGGCTGCTCAGGGATAATTTGGAGTAGGCATACATCAGCCCGCGAGAGCAAGCAGGTTTTACAGCTGGCCGATCATGTGAAGAAAACATATTCGTTCTTCGCTAACTCATAGAGAAGTCCCAAGAAAGAAATCAAGAACTACATATGACTTTTTTAGACCTTATTATTAAGCAAGCTTATGATAATGTTCCATGAGAGTGGTTATGGATGGCACTTGAAAAAGCAGGCATTAGTTCTTTGGCTATGAGGGGGCTATGAGGGACTTATATGGCAACGACATGCACCAGATAAGATGCGGAAACCGCTTTTATGAGCCTTTTCATGATACCAAGGGGTTGAAGCAAGGATCCAGCATGTCACCAACTCTCTTTAAGATATACTTGCACAAGGCAGCAAAGAAAACATAGCCGTAGTACGAGCAATGCGGGGACGTTGGGCCATTGATTAATGACGAGCAATTGGTGTCCTTGTTTTACGCGAGAAGTAAGGTATATATCAAAGTAATAGTGTTTCAGCTGAAGACCATTAACAAAACGGCTGGATTGAAGATCAACTTCGAGAAGACCGAATACATGGCCATAGAAGAAATGGATACTGGAGCACTTCTAGTGGACAAGGACTTCTGCAATAAAATGAATATTTTCAGCTACCTGGGCTCTTATCTTCTGATCATGATATCAAGAGGAAGGTGGAGCAAGACCGTAAGGCTACCCGAATCTTACATCCAGTTCTTATTCCATTATTAATCCAGTTACGCAGCTTTCCACTGAGAATGACCTTAGAATATTCACAGCTATAGTGGAAGTTATTCTTACATATGAATCAGAAACATGGACCATGAAATCCCGTTTGTACTGAAAGGTGCAGGCGGTCAAGATCGATTACTGGAGAAGATGTCTCCGTCTTACCAGACTGGATAATTATTAAGAATGAGGTAGTTCGACAGAGAATGGATGTGGATACACCTGTTAATGAAAAGATCGGGGCACTCTGCCTAAGACGGTATAGCATGTGAGAAGAATGACGGAGGAATGTTGGCCGAGCCGAGTCCTGGATTTGGTTCCGCCAGGGAAGAGAGGACGTGCCCAGAAGCAGGTGGATGGATAGGGTCCAGGAGGAAAAGGCGGGTCGAGATCTGGAGGAAGATGATTGGTGAGATGCGCGTGGTTGCTCTGCGCTGACTATGTGATGCAACACTTAGATGGAACGCTTATAAAGTAAGTAGAGACCCATATTTCTATACAATTTTTTTATTATTATTTTTTTTATATGAAACCTTCGAGTTCGATAAATTGAGTAGAAGATTGTAATTATATGAAATATAATTTTACTTTCCGTAGAAACTTTAAATTCATCAGCATGCCGGAATTTTTATGGAATTGCATAGTTTTTGGCTTGCAGCCTTTAACCTGCTGATATAAATACTATACTAGATACAATTAATCGAATTTTATATTGCATATTTGTTTCGATCAAGTAAAAAAATATAGAAATAAAAAATGTATAATTGAAAATGAAATTCGAGATTACAATCCTATTTTCATTTTAGAAATTAATTATTATTATAAATAAATAAATAAATATATATATATATATATATATATATATATATATATATATATAAATATAATATTTATTTATTTATTTATATATGATATGCAATAATATATACTATAATATGTATTATAGTATTATGTAATAAATTAAAATGTGTACCGTTTATTAATTATAAATATTCATTTTATAATAGTTTTTATGGAAAAATAAAATAAAATTTATTAAAATAAACAATAAAATGATTATTTTATGGAAAAATAAACATTTTATTTTATTTTTATTACAAACATTTTTTTAAAACCATCGATAATGATATTTTTAACAACATCGATACTTCTTCACATTCTCCGATGAAAAAATATTTAATTTATTCATTAATTTTAAGGATTATATTAGATCAAGTCATAAACGTTCAGCCAAACACTCTCAGATTCAATTTATGAATCTAGCTTATGAAATTATAACGACATATAAAAAGAACAAGGGTTTGAGGGGGGGGATTGAGAACAATTTTATTTTATTACTAACAGACAGTAATATTAGTGGGACTAGCAAGTATAAGATGTTTTTTTTTTCCTTGAGGTCATGGCAAAAAGGACCAATAGGCCCACTTGCTGCACTAAGCCTCTCCCACCACCAGAACCCGTACTTTGAGGCCGTCCTATACGGGTACCCATTGACGACCACACCTTTTATTTAATTTTAAACGTTAGTTCATTTAACGGTATTGTGTTTCTTTATTTACTTAGATTAGAGCGAAAATAAAGGATGGTGATATACAGTTAAAATAATAATATAAAAGATTATTTCTTATCTAGGTAGAAAAAATTAAAATTTTAAAACAATGAAAACGAAGATTTAATATTTAATGTGATTTTTTTTTTATTGTTTTGGTTCAAAGGTATTTTTCGAAACAAATAATTACAGAACCTTACTTTCTTTATGTTCAATACAATTCATAAAACTAAATTTGAGAGCACTTCTAGTTATAGGAGATATTAGTAAATAACTAGAAATTGTTTGAACATTTATACGTACAAAAACAATTTTAAATATATTTTAACTACCATCAGGCGGACCATGGCTGCTTAAGTTAATATAAATATATCGTTAGCAATGACTGCTAAAATGTTGTAAGAATATATTATTCTGGAGGATATCGGAGTCTTTTTAAATCTTAATTTTTGTTAACAAAAAGGGAAAAAAATCGAAGTAAAACAACTTTTATATATTATTATATATTTATCTAGTTAAACAGAATAACAGTAAAAAGTTCATGGAGTTTTTAAAAAAAAATGTATGAACCACAAATCAAGCAATTTTACAAAACTTACAAATCGCG